AGTCTATTTTGAAGAAGTGGCGTTAGAAGAAGTTTAAGTTTAAAAAAATTTGGCTCTCAAAAGAAATTTCAGTCTTTGTACTGTTGATATTTGGCTCTGTTGACTAATGAGTTTGCCGGCCACTGGGACAGACCATCAATTATCACAGAAAATTACCGCAGCCACATCTCCAATGTTCATCTCTCATTCGCCTTTCCTTTGATCTTTATTCACTTTATTCAAGCTTCTTTCTGTTGCATGTACTTCTGGTCCCTAAAAAAAGCAAACTAAAATCTTAATTTAGTATGTCCATTGATGTTTAAAAATTGAAATGGATAGTGCCCAGGTGAGACATACCCAGGTGCAAAAGTCTCCTTTCTCCACCCCTTTCCAGCTGGCTTAACCTCTAACCTCCTTCTTTGTGACATGAAAGTTAACTCAACACAAGCCTCAAGTAAACATGCATTTTCTATAATCCTTTTACAGATTCCATCTATGGTCATACCTGGAACTCTAGCATGCCCTTCCCCTATTCTTTCTGATCCCAGCTATTTATCTCCCAATTTCCCTGAACCTCCCACCCTGACAGACCCTTCTGTAGAAATGTTAGCGTGTGCCAGGCTGATGGGGAAATCTGCAGTGAGTAGCAGCTTAGCACTGCCCATTCCATCTGACTGCATTCCTCTGCTTCTCACACATCAACACGTCCCCCCAATGCTGGCTCCCACTCATCAGCTCCATCATGCACTTACAAGGTCCTTCCTTCCTTAGAACATCCTTCTTCTTACTCCCTTTCCTCTTTGAGGTTGCTAGCAAATCTTTTGGGAGGAGGGGAGAGGGGGAAGAGAATCCCCTTCCTGACATCCCTAATTTACCAATCCCAGGCTATAGGTCTATACTTCTAACTTTCTTTTGATGAATTTACATATTCATACACAAAAAATCTACACCAAATTGTACTTACTGGTGTCCTTATACAAAGAGATCACACACACACACACACACACACACACACACACACACACACACCAAGGAAAGACCGTGTGAAGACTCAGATAAGGCCATCTGCAAGCCACAGAGAGTGGCCTCAGAAGTCGCCCATCCAGCAAACACCTTGATCTCAGACTTTCAGCCTCCAAGCCTAAGCCAACAAGTCTACAATACTATGTTCTAACTAGCTTGGCAAACTAATAGAGGGCTCATCTTCTTAGATTAAGATCCTCTGGGGTGATATTTGTGGGGTACAGATAACATCCTAATCATAAGATAATGGAGATGTAGCTACAACTCATGCATAAAACAGATCTGGGAGACGTGATGGTGAGTGTGACCAGCCTGAGTTGACAAAATCAAATGGCAATGTTAGGCTGCACACTGAGGTGGGCAACGGACTCCTGCACGCTGAGGTGGCCAGAGCCATCATGGAGTATTGTACACAAACCAGTAGACATCTAGGGAGAATGGCCAGGGCTTAGAAGGAACCAGAAACAGTGCCATCTGCACAGCTGTTAAAGGAAGTGCCTGTGTTACCTTGATAAGAGAGGACACTGGAGGCAGAAGCAGCATGAACACTCCTGGCAAGTATGTGAAGACGTGTGTGTGGAAAAGCTTTATTCTGCTTGGTCACTGCAGGGGCCTGATGAGGCGGGGGCCAGACATGGCAGGGATCTCCCTTTTCTGCATCCAGCATGGAAAGAGAGATAAATGAACCGGTTCTAAGTGGAGGCGGCCAGGGATTGAGAAACAATGAAAGGAGAAAGAAAAAAAGAAAGAAAGAAAGAAAGAAAGAAAGAAAGAAAGAAAGAAAGAAAGAAAGAAAGAAAGAAAGAAAGAAAGAAAGAAAGAAAGAAAGAAAGAAAGAAGGAAGGAAGGAAGGAAGGAAGGAAGGAAGGAAGGAAGGAAGGAAGGAAGGAAGGAAGGAAGGAAAGAAGGAAGGAAGGGAGGGAGGGAGGGAAGGAAGGAGGGAAGGGAAGGAGGGGAGAGAGAGAGAGAGAGAGAGAGAGAGAGAGAGAGAGAGAGAGAGAGAGAGAGAGGCAGGAAGGAAGAGAAGGAAGAAAGTAAGAAAGGTAAGGAGAAAGAGAGGAAGAAAGAAAGAAAGAAAGAAAGAAAGAAAGAAAGAAAGAAAGAAAGAAAGAAAGAAAGAAAGAAAGAAAGAAAGAAAGAAAGAAAGAAGATGCAGAGATAGATTTAAAAGCTGGGAGCTGGGTGGGAGGACGCCATTCTCTCTGATGGAGGGATAGGACGACAATTCAGACCAGGCAACACATTTATTTATACCCCTAATACCAGGAAGTAACACCAAAACTTAGGATCAAAGGAGCTTATTTGCATTCTTAAATAGGCCCTAGCATGCCTGGATTTACATATCTAGTCCCACCCCTGTTGACACCTGGGCTGATCTGAAGGCAAAGCTGACAACATGTCCAGCCTCATTGGAGAAGCATGTTCCTAGGGCATGGCTCTGCCTATGACCCTGAGTTCAGCTGATAATAATTAAAAAAATGCCCATGTGCCTTCCCAGGTGGCCCTCTACAGGTCATGGGGCAGAGGGCCATCTGAGTGGGAGGTTCAAGAAAAAGGAATGACATAAGAACTTTATAGAAGCCAGAACAGCCCAAAGACAGAATGCTCTCCCTTTGAAGGGAGAGCAAATATCTTTTAAGGGGAGGCATTCAAGTCTAGGTTTGGAATGTCTCTGAGATCCCAGCCAACTGGTGCTTGATCCTTTTGTAGGCTTCTGACTCGAGATGTTCCTTTATTTTCTGCTCAGGGAATCTGAAAGCTGTCTCAGGGCAGGAACTGGCATTAAATATGGAACAGAGCTAGTGGCTGAGAAGTGAAAGCCATCAGGATCTCCTGAGTGGTAATGGAACGGGAGAAAATGTAAGGACTGTCCATCATTCTGACAGTCAGCCGCTAATCACCTTCCCTGAGAGAACATCTTGTCCAGGGAATGTGCGAGTGCTGTGAATTTCAACAGTGGGCACGAAACCACTTAATCGAGGAACTTTCATTTGTATAGATTGCTAGAGGCCTGATGCACGAAATTTGTGCAAGGGCCTTGGCCCCGGCCTCACCCACCGCGGTCCCCCATCCATTGCAGCTTTGTCTGAAAGGAAGGCTGTCTGGAAGGACGTGGGTCTGATTAGCATATTTTACCCTTTTTTATTATTACAAATAACCTCGCTTCTATATATTTGAATTCCGTGCTCAATAGAAGTCCCTCACTCTTAAAAAAGCGTTTCCTTCCTCCTAGGACTGGCTCCGAGGGCATGCAACCCATGCAAGTCACACAGGGCCCTGCGCTCAGAAGAGCCCCATGGTGGTTTAACAATGTGTCCTCAATGGAAATTTTTTAATTTTGGAAACATAAAGGGTCTGCCTTCCCATTTTGTACCAGACCCTGCAACATCTGTGGTGGGTCCTGCTCCCTCCCCATCTTCAAACCATACTTCCCTTTGCATTCAGATGCCTTCAATTTGCTCAGACAATCCTGGGACAGTCAGGTAACGGTGGCGCTGGGTAAACGTGTTCTGGAAGCTACTGCGCTGTGCTGTCCCTGGGGATTTTCCCTGCAGTCCCAACTGCGTGTCCCTGACTAGCTGTCAGATTTGGGAGTTGCTTAGTCCCAGTTCCTGACTTATGTAAGTGGGAGTCATAACAGCAAGGGCCTCGTGGGCTTTCTATAGTAAGTAAATGACAAGACAAGTACAGGAGTATTGTCTGATAACAGCTACTGGTTATTAAAAGTGATCCAGGTTCAGGACTGGAGGGACGGGAGAGGCAAACCCTCCCCCTGGCTGGGCCTTGGCCCTCACATACCCTCTCCCCTGGCCCCACTGTGGACTGAGGCTTGGTGACCAATGCTCCTTCAGGCCAAGGGGAGGGGATACAGCTGGACAATTCTAGACCATTCTAGACACAATAAAGGCTAAGGGCAGAGTTCAAGATCTGATGTTCTTAGTTACGGGGTGGAATAAGAAGCATTGCTACAGACCCCTTTCCCTCTTAACCTTCATTGCATCCCCATGTCTGATGTATGTTCTATCCTACACTGACAAAAAACGAACAAACAAACAAACAAAAAAGCCCTGCTGACCAGCCCCTTCTCTTAAAAGAAAAAAAAAAAATCCCCCAAAACAAAATAAAACAAGAAACCGCAACAAATAAACAACAAAAAATATGTTTAAACCTTTCTTTCAAGGGTAAGTAAATGGGTCGCCAGTGTCTTCACTAGCCGGGCTAGCTCCTGTCTCCTTCGGTTCGTTCTAAAGATAGAAATTCCAGGTTGCTTGTGGCTGCTTTTGACTGGGAGAAGAGAGGGAAAAAAAGCTTCTGCACTCTCAACCAGAGAGGAAGATATTCCATTTCCTTTAAGCTTCTCTCGTCCCCCCTTCTCTTTTCCAAATGCCTCCCCCACTTCCCCACACCGCGGCAAAAACCGATCTGCGGTCCAAAACGCACCCCAGCAGGGCATCCATCCGTGCGGGGGGGCCTGCGGGGCGGATGAGTCAAGCTCACGGGAGCGAGCAGGCAGCGCTCCCGACTTCTCTGGAGCCCAGACGCCCTACATCTCACCTTCCCCTGGCCCCCGCACTGCCCCTCTCCGGCCCCGGACCCTCCCTCCTCTCGCTCCAGGGTCCAGGGGGCCGGCGGCCGGGGGTGGGGGGAGCGGGGTGCGGGCGGAGCTGCGGGCGCCGCACCTGTGGGCGCCGGGGCGCGGGCCCCTCCCGGTCGGAGCGCGCAGCTCCCCGCGCCGCCGCTAGGGGTCGCTGCCGGGCGCCTGGCGGGCTGGGCCGGATCAGCTGACTCGCGGGGCTCTGAGCCCTGCAGCTCGGCTCCAGCCCCGTCAGTTTCCTCGGCGGCGGCAGCGGGAGAGAAGCGAGCGGGCACCCGGAGCAGCGCGATCGCAGGGCCCAGCGGACTCGGGCTCGGCGGCACCGGCACCGGCACCGGCACAGCCAGGGCGCGGCGGCTCGCACTCGCTCAGCAGCGCACTCGGTGCCCGGCGCGGAGTCGCGATGCTGCCTGGCTTGGCACTGGTCCTCCTGGCCGCCTGGACGGCTCGGGCGCTGGAGGTGGGTGCCGCCCTTCGCGCTGGGGGGGATGGGGCGACGGTGGGGAGCCGGTCCTCCGCACATCTTTAATCCTGAGCAGCGTGGGGCAGGCTAAGGGGGACCCCTGTTCGGAACCCTCCGCGCCCAACGCCCCCGCTTGCGGCCGAGCTGCGCATCCTCGCCTCCGGCCCAGCGGGTCCCGGGCGCACGCTCCATGCCGCCCGCGGAGAGGGGCGCAGCGTCTGGCTGGCTCCCGGGGGCGCGCTGGTCGCCTCGGGGGGCGAGTCGGGGAGGCGATCGATCCTGAGCTCAGACCCTAACTCACTCGGTCCCTGCTTCCCGGGACCCGGGAGGGCGAGAGCCGTGCAGATGGAGCACACATGGGGTGAAACCGAAAACGCAGCGTCCCCGGATCGTCATCGCTGCCCTTCCCGTTCTCTCGGGGCCTGGGGAAGCGGAGACGGGACGGCTCGGGAAGCCGCCTCCCTCCCCCGCTTCCCTTTGCCTTTTCCGCCCGGGTTTCCCCCGTCGCAGCCCCGCCGCCCCGTCCCTGCCCGATCTCCTCTGCCTTCCTCTCCCCGGCTGCTCGCCGTGGCCTCCGAGGGCGACCCCCAGCAGGGTCGGCACCCCCTTCTGCAGGCAAACTTTGCACATCGCTGCGTCCCCCTTTTTGTGTTAAGTTCGGGAGACGGGAGGGGTCGGAGACCCGCTGCCACCTCGCGCCTTCCCCCCTTTCCCCGGAGCCTGGGCGCCCTGGGCAATCGCTCGCACCTTCCTCCAGCTTCTCCCCGGAGAGGGAGCAGCTCCCCGGGAACAAAAGCCGCGGCACCCGCCCTTCGCCAGCCCGGGGCGCGGTGCACGGAGCCGCGATCGTGTGTGCGCCCCCCGAGGCTCCCGCCCGCCCGCCCGCCTTCTGCCTGGCGCTGCGTGTCGGTCCCGGCGGCCCGGTGGGGGCTGGGGCGCTATGGGGGAACCTTGGGGAGCCTGGGCTTCCCACCCCCCCCCATCCCCTCGGTGACTTTTGCAAATTCCCTGCTGGGCTGGAAAGCCCTTGGGGAGCGGAGGGGAGCGGCGGAGTGCGGGGTGCGCGCTGCAAAGGGCAGTGGAGGGGGGTGCAGAGTCACGAGCTCCCCTCTCTCCAGGGCATCAAAGGAGGCGTTTGTCTGCTGCAGGCGCGGACTCCCCCCTGGCAGCGCGGGGGCCCTCCCGTGGAGGATGTTGGGGAGGGTCCCCCGAGTCCCTTTTTCTTTTAGGGGTGCAGATAAAAGGATTGCATGGAGTGAAGATTAAGACGGAGAAGATGGCGCCTCTGCAGTGCAGCAAAGAAAAGCGGTGTGGAGGCTGCAGCCTGGGAAATCCACCCACCGCTAGGTGTATAGCCAGTCCTCCCCATTCATCCAACTCGCCAGCCAGCAGCCAGCGCCGGGGGCAAAAGGACTGTTTTTCTTTCCCTAAAGATGCTTGGAAGTTGTTTGTCCGACAGAGGGGAGGGGGGAGAGGAGGTTGCATTTCCCACCGGTGGGTTCCCGGTCCGTATTTTACCGTTTTTGCAACCTTCCCGCCCCAATACCCCGCTCCCCCTGCTCCTCCTGCTCCCCTACCTCGTGGTAATTTTCCAAGGAAGCTATTTCTGGACAAGTGTTTTTCTGTCATTTCACTGAGACTGCAGGCGATCACCTCCTGGCACTGGTTTAGTCCCCGATGTGTGTGTGGGGTCATTGAACTTTTCCCTTCTCTCTTCTACCTACAAGTGGCTCAGGAGCCCGCTTAGGGCTAGTGAAGACTAACACCGTTTTCCATATTAAAAAAAAAAAAAAAGCATTCAATTAAGGGAACTCGTTTCTCCGATGACTTACATGTACTCCTGCAATTATTTTTTTTTCTTGATTGCTTTACTACATATTAAAAACCACACATGAAGTAATTCAAGTCATATCTTAACCTTTATAGTTGAAGCTTTTGTCAAAAAAAATATAACTTTTCCGAGCAAGTATTTTTTTTTCCTGTATAAAAAGAGGCAGCAAATATGATTCGATTTATTTATTTATTTGGCCTTTTGAATGCTTTTGCTTTTTTTTTTTTTTTTTTTTTTTTTTTTTTTTTTTGCTTTTGCTTTTGCTTTTTCTGCCATCATTTTGGACATTTTCAATGATAACCTCTTTCAAAGATGAGCCCATTTGAAGCCGTGATGGAAGAGTGGGTAATTCACCCTAATGGGGATTGAGGGGGGCTTACCCAGCTGTATCCGTGTCCGCTGGGAAGATGTCATTATGGCTTGCCTGTCTTTGTGGGCGTGGAAAACAGGTCTGCTGCGGGGGTCCCTAAAAGAGAACCCAGCCAGGGTGGCGATAATGGAGCTCAGGTCTTGGTGGAAGCATTACTACAGTGGGCTGATGCTTTTGCCTGGCGTAGCCATAGAGGATGAGTTTCAAAAGCCCAGACATGTATTTACTTATTTCCTTAAACTTGCTTCTCCCTAAAGTTGTATTTTCCTATGTTGGGGGAGTTGAACCTAATCACAATTATCTGTTTGGATAGTGATGCTGATTCATAGACTAGAGAGCTATCCATATTGCGTACTGCCCTGATGGCAGACACCTGCACACGGAATAGTGAAGCCAAGATTTGATGGTGATCTGTTAGGAGTTTCGTGCTAATCCGTGGTCACCAGCAGGGCACAAAAGCTTCTCTCTGGTCACCCTTCACCAGCAGAGGCGCCCAACGGCAGTTGTGTGACGCTACTATTGTAGTTCTCCAGAGAGACTGACCATCCCTGAGTCTGCCTGAGGAAATGAAAAGGAGCATGCAACTCAAATGATCACAAGGTTAAATAGGAATAGCCAATTGGAAAAAAGAAAGAAAAAGAAAAACAACATGGTCCATTGCATCCGGGTTTGAAGGAAATGAGGTTAGGTCTATGGCCAAGGCTTTTTCCCTGTGGCTGGGAGGATCGCCTATGTTATGTTACTGTTTGTGGCTTGTGAGAGAGATTTCTTTACAGATATTTGTGTGAAAGTGAATGTTGCCAGTCATTCTAGAAATAGTTGTATTTAATATGTGCCTTTTATGTGACCGATAAACTGTAGTTGAAGAAGTGTGATCAAATTCAGTGGAAATGTGTATCCTATTTGTGCAAATCTGCCTCAGGTGGGGACAAGTATTTACCTTAAGAGACTTGCAAAGCACCTAGCATTAATATATTCTTTGATCTCTGCATCATGATATCAGTTCTGGAATGCAGAGATTCACCTTATCAGTGTTTTAGTTGTGAAGCTCCAGGATGTAAGGTTTAGTTTGTACATACCTCAGTACTTCCCACCCTCACTCCAGCTCCCAAGAAGTTTGTAGAGTAAATAAGACAGGCACATGATTATAAAAGAAAATAGAAAGTGTTAAGTACCAGGAGGAAAGTACAGATTAAGTGGGGCTCTGAGTGAAAGTGTTACCTAAATATGTATATTTATAGAATAAAGCAATAGGATGAGATAATCCTGGAGAATTTCCTAGTAGTTCATCTTCAGCCAGGTTTGTATGTGCGTCTGGGGAATGGAAGTGAGGTCATTTTACAGTATTTATTTACATCCCTCTCTCTGCCTTTCTCCTCCCAGACAAAACATACACTCACACACAGATACACACACACACACACACTCACATTCACACACACATACTCACATTCACACACACATACACACACTCACACACACGCATACCCTCACACATGCACATACTCAACTCACACACACTCATACACACACACACATAGTTCCACTCACACACACATACTCACACACACACACTCAACTCACAGACACATACTCACACTCACACATATACCCTCACACACACATACTCAACTCACACATACTCACACTCACACACACACACACACACACACACAACACACATAGTTCCACTCACACACACACACACTCAACTCACAGATACATACTCACACTCACACATATACCCTCACACACACATAATCAACTCACACACACTCACACACACACACACACACACACACACACACAACACATAGTTCCACTCACACACACTCACAGACACATATACCCTCACACACACATACACACACACGCAACACACATAGTTCCACTCACACACACACATACTCAACTCATAGACACATATACCCTCACACACATATACTCACATTCACACACACATACACACACACACTCACACACACACATTCACACACACATACTTTCACACACACATACTTTCACACACATAGTTCCACTCACACACATACTCACACTCACACACACATAGTCACACACACACATAGTCACATTCACCTGGAAGTGTGAGGCTGGCCTTTGTCATCTTCTTTCTTTTCCCTGTGCCTGGTTTAGAGCCAGCCAGGCGAAGATGAGGCTCTTTAAAAACAAACAAACAAACAAACAAACAAACAAACAAACAAACTATATATATATATATATATAGTTTGTTTGTTTGTTTGTTTGTATATATATAGTTTGTTTGTTTAATGTGTGAGTGTGAGTATGTGTCTGTGAGTTGAGTGTGTGTGTGTGAGAGTATAATATATATATATATATATATATATATATATATATATATATATATATATATTATTGATTTCAGAGAGAGAGGGAGAGAGAGATTGATTGGCTGCCTCCTGCACTCTCTCCAAGCCCACAACCCTGGGCATGTGCCCCTGATCAGAATCAAACCTGGAACCCTTCAGGCCGCAGGCCGCAGGCCGATGCTCTCTCCACTGAGCCAAACTGGCTACGGCAGATGAGGCTCTTAACAATGAAAGATGAGCAGGTGTGGAGAGTGATTTCATTGTCTTTGCCTACCCATTAGTGGGAACATTTTCATTTATTCTCTTTTTGAGCCAAGTCCTGTCCTGCAGCTCAGAAGATACTGCGATGAACAAAGCAGTCTTTTCCTTCACGAAGCTTCCAGTCAGACTAGACAGAAATCATTCTACTCTAAATGCGTGCTCATGAGCGTGACAGATGCTGAGACGG